GCTTTCTAATATAACATACAGCCTGGATCTAACAGCGCACTAGCCAACTGCCATCCCCCCGGCTGCACTCAGCTTGTAGACCTGTGTTGGTTTTGCCTGCCCAGCATCTCTCGGCCCCTCCCATTATGGAACTCTATTTCCCTTTGGGTAAGTGGCCCACCTCCTTTCCTCTCATAGTCCGTGTGTCTGGAAAATACTGATCCCTTCTCTTGGTGCCATTGCTGGACACAGGAGCCATTCAGTTTGTTGTTGTTGTTGTTTAGTTGGATGCAGAAATCCAATTCAAACTAGTTGGTTTGTTTGCAACAACCCAGTGGGTGCAAGGAGAGACTTCCCCAGGACTTCCACTGATGCTCTCTTTCAGCAACGGTTCTTAAACTGACGAGGTAAATCCAGGAAGGCTGGTGTCCATCCTCTTATCATATTGTACGCACCTGCTTAAGAATGCAGCCGATCAGAGCGGAGCAGTCCCCGCTGATGGAAAGAGACAGCGAGGTCTTGGGCCTGGACCCCCAGGGCTCACGTCAGGTAAGCGTCTGCACGTTTTAGTTATGAGAGCCGATACATTTCTCTTTAAAAATTGAGCTCGTCAGAACTTTTCTCTATCAATTTCCATCAAAGGAGTCCTGAGAAGCGCCTAGTTACTAGGGAGCGGAGCTGGCAGTTCACACCCGGGTCTGACTTCAGGCCTTGGTGGGGCCCCGTGGACACTGCAGTTAGACCCGCCTTGAAGAGGCAACGCTTTAGGAAGCCCGGCCTGGCCAGGAGGCCATCGGAATCCAGGATGGGCAGGTGACAGACACCCACCCCCAGGGGCAACACAAGGCGGTAAGGATGTCACAGAGGAGAGCATATCTGTATCCATGGGCAGAGGGGATTATGGGTCAGGAAAGGCTTGGAGGAGAGGACCCATGGGGGATTCTTGACAAGGGAAGACACCCCAGAGGGCAGGTGACCTCTGATGGGAGCGAGGACCGGTTGCCCCAGCCCTGCCATTCAGAGCAACCTCGGCCATGACCGCTGTGTGTGTGTGTGTGTGTGTGTGTGTGTCCCTGTCAATCTGTCCATCTCTCTGTATATTATGTGTACGTGCATATCTGCCCATCCATCTTTGTATGATTGACAGCTGGCTCTTCCCTCCCTCTCCCTCCTCCCACCTCTTTCCTTCCCCCTCCCTCTTTGTCCCTCCTCCCCTCCTGCATTCACTCCTAACTTTGGGGGTGCACAGTCCACTCCATCATTAGCAACCCCCTCGTCCCAGCCACCATCATTTCTCACAGCCACATAACTTGTCTTTATTCCCGCCTCCGTTCCTGCCGTCGGCCCATCAATTCTCTTCCTCCTTGACAAAGTGAATGTTGGGAAGTGCAAATCTAATCACAGCTCCCCCGCTGCTTAAAACCAGGGGTAAAAACCAAACCCCTCACCCACAGCCAACAAAAGCCCTTCCCACTCTCCAACTGCAACCAGCTCCTCGGTGTCCCACACTGTGGGGCTCTCCAGTTCCTCAGAGTGCTTCTCACTCCCACCCCAGGACCTTTGCACTTGCCCTGTCCTCCACTCAGATGCTCTCTTGGCCCCATGTCCCTTCACCCTTCTCATCTCTGCTCAAATATCACTTCCTTAAAGAACCCTCCTCTGACTGCCCACCCATACAGATCTCCTGTTCATGTTCTTCCAGTCCTAATTTTTTCACTGTAACATTTATTCGTGTGGGTATGCATGCATGTGTGTGTGTGTGTGTGCATTGTATTTCATGCTTTTGACTCTAAGATCCAAGAAAGCAAAGACTATATCATTTTTTTTTTTATATCAGGGATTGAACCCATGGACACCACATTCCCAGCCCCTTTTATTTGTTTATTTTGAGACAGTATCTCTCTAAGTTGCTTAGGGCCTCACTAAATTGCTGAGGCTGACTTTGAACTTGCGATCCTCCTGCCTTAGCTTCCTGAGTTTCTGGGACTACAGGTATGCAACGGCACCCAGCTATATCAACTTTTTAAAAATAACTGTATATCCAACCCACTACAGTGACTGGCATACACACTTGCACTTTGTTGCATCCCCAACTATGAGTAAAGTGTTGGTTTCCATCTATGGTATGTTTCTGTTGCGGGTTCTACTGAGTAAATAATTATTCCTTTAGACCCTGCCCTCTATCCCAGGGTGGAGAAATGCAATCTAGACCTAGAGGACCAAGGCAAATGAGAGGCAGCCTATGCTATGGTTTAGATCTGGAATGTTCCCCCAAAGGCTTGTGTACTGACGTCCTGGTCCCCAGTGCAGCTGTTCAGAGGTGGGGCTTTTGGAAAGTGAGCAGCCTGGGTCCAAGGCTCCCTTCCGCCATGATGTACTGCCCCCCTCAGGACCAAGGCAATGGATTTTCAGCCAACCACAGACTGAGACCATGAGCCAAAATAAATCTCTCCTCCTCTAAGTTGTTCCCCACACCAGGTTTTTTGACACATGGATGAAAAGCTAACACGGTTTATTTCTTTATGGAAGTGAAGATCGTGCAATATTTCTGTGCCACTCATATATATTATCTAGCCAGGTGCTTAAGCATTTCTGTTTAAAACTCCTCTGCTAACACTTGGCATTTATTTCTATTTTATTTATTCATTTAAGCTTTTTTCTGTTCATCCACCTGGCAGGCACTGGGAATACAATGCAGGACAAGACCCTGCCTGTGGTACACAGGACCAGGTTACCATATGTGATGGTTTTCCGCCTTGTACCCGGCCTTCTGCAGCTGCCTGCTGATTTCAGCACAGGGTTGGGGTCCGATTGCTAGCCAGACATGATAGTGACATGCTAAAACTGAGACTGTGTCCCCAACCTCCATGGTGTCCCAAGCTCTGACACTCTGGGCTACAAAGACAAATTCATGTCCCTGTACCCTGAATGTCCTCAATGCCGAAGCTGGGAGAAAGGAAGAGACATTTTTCAGAGTGAAGAGGAACACAGCTTTCAGTTTTAAATAGGATTGTCCCTCAATGAGAAGCAGACATGGGAGCAATGACCTGAGGAGGGTGAGGAAGCAGGTCTGCAGTTTCTGGGGGCAATTCCAGGCAAGGGGAGCACCCAGTGCAAGAGCCCTGGGGCCTTATCCACGAGTCACAATGTCGGGAGATCTCTGAGGATGGGAGGGGAACCAATCATATACACTCTTTCCCCATCCTCAATTCCCCATCTCCGTCTAGCCACCTGCAGACAAATCCAATTTATGGGTGTTTGAACAATTATTTATTGATCCTCTACCATGTTAGCACTACCTTATTATTAATACAGCGGGGTTGCTTTTTAGGTTTTTTGTTTGTTTGTTTGTTTGGCCCAGTCACATTCAAAATAGCTACGAGAGAGGATCGTGAATGTTCTCACCCCAATGAAATGATCAAAATGATACCTGTCTGACTTGTATTAGAGGTGATGGATATGTTCATTACCGTGATTTGATGATTACACATTGTATACATGAATCGAAACATCACATTATCCCCCATAAATATGCACAATTACTGTGTGTCAATCAAAAATAAAAATAAAACAAATAAATTAAACAGCAAGAGAGGTCAAAATAACATTGTAACATCTAATAAGGCTTGAAATATCAGAAGAGGCTTCATTATGCCCCTGTGATGCTATAATAACCTGTCCCCTGAGGAGACCAGGTGCTGCCCTGTCCTCCTCAGACCTAGCCAGGTCCAGCGGCTCCCTCTCTTCCTACACTGCCTGGGCTACAGAGGTATGCCCTGCCCCTTCCCCAAAACGTTTGGAGGAGACACTAAGAAAGATGGGGCCTGGGCCCCACAGGCAGGGGTCCCCTCCACCTCGGGAGGCAGGGCAGAGACTGGGAAAAGCCCAGCCAGTTCCTTCTCTCCAAGAACTGATGTTATGGGGGCAGGGGACAGTCTCAGGCTTCCCGGAGCCCACCCCATGATTGACATTGGCCGCTGCTACAACGGCTCCTGGAAATGCGTCCCTCCGTATTTCTGCCGAATCTTTATCTGTCTCACACACACTGTCTTGAGGACTGGACGGATGTCTCTGGCTTCCCAATTCTGTGGTGGCTGAGAAGTGCCACTCTTGAAACTCTCCATCTGCTAGGAGGAGGGGGTGCTCCTCGGGGGCGCTGCTCGGATCCCACCTGCGCTATCCTTCACACCACCTTCAAACACCCAGACCACCCCCACGCCCCCACGTGGCCCTGTGTGCTTTGGTGCTCTCGGGCATGTTGGTGAGGCGCCTGCCTGCGTGTTTCCACGTGTCTAGCTAGGTGTGGGTGAGAGGGCATCCGCGTGCACGAGAGGGTGTCAGGGCGCCCGCATGACTGGGTATTGTGTGTCTTTGTGTCAGCGTGGGGGGACGTTCTGCCGGAGTGGCTGCGAGCTCCTTTAGCCCAGGCCGAAGGGTTGCGTCTGGCGGGCTTCTCTTAGCCAGCCTCCAAGAGCACTCCAGTTCGGGGACAGTCCCACCTCTGGCCGCCCCCAGAATCAACACTCACGCACAGAGATGCACGGACCCTTCCCTTCAGAGCCAGCAAGCTGGAGCCAACCCTTCGCATCCTCGCGTCTCCAACGGCCTCCCCTTCCCCCCACGCCCTGGATATAGAATCCTCTATAGGGAGATGGACTCGAGGCACTGGAGAGGGAGAAGAGAGGTGGCTGGGAGGAGAGTCGAGAAAGGCAAACTGAGGACACGCTGGAGGAGTAAGGAGCCGCTGCGGGAGAAGCAGGTCCCACCCACACCACGCCCCTCCCGCGGGGGACGGAGAAGGGGTAGGTACCCTGCTCTCCAGCCCGGTCTTCCTCCGGGCTCGCCAGCTCCAACTCCATCTTCTCCCCTGAAACTGGAGCCGAGAAAGGCAGCTGGGACCCCTCCTTTTATGCACCCACCCGATCCCCCCCCCCCCCGCAACACACACACCCCACATCCAGGCAGATGCTGATTGGCTGCGGGGAGCGGCGTCCCAGCCCCCCGGCTCCGAGGCGGGAGCCGAGCGGTCCGAGGTGGGAGGTGCAGTAACCGGCTCCGGAGCCCCTCCCGAGTCCCCGCGCCCTGCGCCGCGCGCTCTGCACCCTGCGGGAGGGCTGAGCCCGGACTCCAGGCGGGCAGGTGCGGAGCGAGCAGAGGATCGCGGCCAAGGGTAGAAGCAAGTCCTGCGGGGAGAGAGGCGCCGCTGCTCCAGCTGCTGCCTCCGCCGCCACCACCACGGAGCCGGCGTCCAGAGCCGGGCTGGCAGGCTGGGCGCGCAGCGGCGAGGGCAGGAGGGGCGCGCTCATGGAGCACACTCACGCCCACCTCGCAGCCAACAGCTCGCTGTCCTGCGGCTTGGGCTTCGTGCCCGTGGTCTACTACAGCCTCCTGCTGTGCCTCGGTTTACCAGGTGAGGGGCAGGGGAGAGAGGGAGGGAAGCCAGGATCCCCCAGGGGCCAAGCAGCCCTGCCCAGGACCCCCAGCCCCGCAGTCGCCCTCCCCGTGCGCTCCCTGGCGCCCCTCTGAAAAAGTTTAAGCCTTAAAGGCAGCTGCGGAGATTTCCAGCCTGGGAGAAAGGAAGTTGCTGTGGCCTGGTGGTGTGTGTCGTGTTTCCGAGTGAGCACAGTGGCAGTGTGAGTGTGAGTTGGCTGTGAGTGGTCCTGTGGATTGCGGCGTGCACTCGTGTGCGGGTCCGAAAGGGTCCGAATCCGCGAGCTCCCGCTCAGGGCTGTGTGGGACTTGCTTGAGGGGGGCTTCACTTCTCCGGTTGCACCACACTGTCTACCCCAGCTGGGGACACTTCTGCCCCTCTGCGCCATCCCCTCCTGACCAGAGATAAAGCTGGAGACCCTATGCTGGTCAGTCTTGCTCAGAGGGCCCTAGGATGTGCCCTTGCTGCCCACCCAGAGCCAGTACAGTGTCTCCTGATGGCTAAGCAGACTCAGAGGGGGTGGCTCTGGAACTGTGCTTGCTCAGGGCAAGGGTGTCAACCTCAAGGGAGTCACAGTCTCCTTGAGGACATGTCTGGACCCCTGGATTTGCCTCCAGGTCTACCCTGGTCCTCTCTGGGCAGCTCACAGGTGCTGCAGACGTCTGACTGGTCCCACATCTTAATGTCCTCTCTGAAGTGTAGCAAAGACTTGTGCTGAATTCCTGACGAGGAGGGGGTGCCTGCGCCCTGCGCCGTGTGTGAGAGCATGGGGTGGGGGGATCCCTGAGGCTCCAGCTTTGGGGGGCTCGCTCTTCCACTGTCTGCTGCAGAAAGATTCCTGAAGATCCCTTGCAGGCAGAGGGAGAGAGTGACACCAAAGAGCCAAAAGGAAGGCAACGCAGTCCAACCTGCAGCCTGGGATCTTAGCATCATCTCCAGGGCGAGAACCTCAGCATCCCGGGGTCCTGGGAACTTGGGGGCTGGGATTCCAAGAGCCCTTTTGAGATTTCCTTCCCCAAACATCCCACTTGCCAACCAGAGCCCTTGAAGAAAGAGATCGTTTCAGCCAATCCCCCCTCCCGAATTGGTCAGGCACGGGATGAAAGCGCCAAATTTACCAAACGCAGGAGCCTCTGTCCCCACAGCCAGGGACCAGGCTTTTATTCCTCACTAATCGCTCAGGCTGCCCTAGGAGAGGAGCCCCACCTCTGACGCACCCTGCCGGGCGGCAGCATCCACCCCGCAATTACCTTGCGCTGGGATTGATTTCGGTCCCAGTTGTGCCTTCCCCAGAGCTGTCTCTGGGAAATGACTTTTTCAGAAGGTTGGTTATGGGTGATGCTCGCTGATCCGGTGAAGCAATAGACCCTCCTTCCCAGTCGCCCTCTCATCAGAATGGATCTGACCCCCAACACCTCACCCCTCCATCTTCTCTACCCACTGAGGTAGACACTCAACTCATGCTCCTGGGCATATCCCCTGAAACTGCTTTAAGGGACCCTGACAAAGGTGTGGGCTGGGCTGTCCTCTAAGAGTCCCAAGCCAGGGGCATGAGGATGGGGAGAAGGAGGGAAAGCTCAGTCTAAGACCTCAGAATGGAAGTCAAGCAGCTGGGACCTCCACTGCCAACCAAGGCCTGCGACCCACAGCATTGGCACCTAGTGTATGCCACTCACTGTGCTAGGCATGGGTTTAACCCAGGGACCTAAAAAAAGGAAGGGTTGGGATTAGAACTTAGAGAACGTCAACACGCTCATACACTCAACCTAATTTTGACCACCTACATGCACCACAGGCTAAGGATGTGCCACGGGGCCCCCAGAGAGTCCTCGGGGGCCGTCTCTGAGTTCAAGGAGCTCACAAACAGAGCATCTGAGTCTAGAGGCTGAGGATGGATGGGGAAGAACCGAGCATCCTAGAGAACGCACGGGGGCCGGGGGATGGGGGTGGGGACAGCCTTGTCCAAAACCATGAGCTGAAAGCAGTTTTGTCAACAAAGTTGGTTCAAAGGTAAAACCTTTAAGTCATCCATGCCTTTAAAGCCCCACGAGGGGGATAAGTATGTCCTCACAGTAAGAGTGCAGGGTGAGCCTCTGCCGGGGGAGGCTGTGCGCCTGGCGTGTCTCTGGGACTCAGTTGCCACATCCATACAAGGGGTGTTATTTGAGCAGCGTCTCCGCACCGCTGTGGCTGAGGGCATCACCGTGCGGGTTGGGTGTTGAACAGGAGGGCGCTCAGCCCCACCAGAGAGCCAGCGAGGCCCTAGGAGGGGCCCAGGGGAAAGCGCGCAGCGTGGTGTCAGTCTTCCTGCAAGCTCACCACGGTGGTCCCCTCAACCACCAGCAATTAGCAAACCCTCATTACCCTCCCGCTGACCGAGAGGCACAGCCCACCAGGTGTGAGGTGAGGACCATGGGCCTCGCGAACGGGGATAAAAACTGAGATTATAACTGAATCACCTTTCCTGGCAGTGACCTCGCCCCAAGTTTTCCCTATTCTTGTAGCGGTGGTTGGAGATGTGGGTGGACACGGGGGAATGGAGGGGATGCTGCTGGGTGACCGCCACATGGGGAGCCAGTAGTTAAGGGAAAGCAGTAGGTGCCTTTGGCTACCTACAGTCTCTAAGGAAGAGCTTGAGAAGAGCTGTTGAGGTCCCATCCCCTACAGCAAGGAAATGCGTCGCTCAGTCTGACCTCCTGGGTCTGATGTGAAAGCCAAGAAATTCTAGCATGAAATACAGGTAGAGCCCTGCTGCTGACAAATTCTCAACTTCTTAGTACCAGCGTTTGCCCATCCGTCAAATGGGGCTAAGCGTAGTCTGTGATTACCCACACGAGTCATATTACTAAACAACGTGATCTATGCGGAGATGGCGCATGCCTGTCATGTGAAGACTGGGGAAGCTGAGGCAGTTGCATAACTTGAGCCCAGGAGTCCAAGGCCAGCCTGAGCGGCATAGCAAGGCCCCATCCCCAAAGGGAAAGACAAAAATGGCTGAGCGCAGCACCTCGTCCAAGAGAAGCACTTTTTACTCAGTGCCCCCTTCACACCGGAGCTTTCTCACCTGTATTATGACACTCTGTCTCCATCACACACCCCTGTGACATGTCTCTGAACCCATTTTACAGATTCAGAGCAGTGAAGCATCTGTCCACAGTCACACAGTCGAGCCAGCACGGGAGCAGGTCTGTTCTGCTCCCTGCACCACACTCCAGTGTCACCAGCAGAGGTCAGCTGTGCTGACCCTCCTGCTGCAGGCAGAGGACAACCTGGGCCCCGCGGCCTTTCCTAAAACCCCATCCCTTTCTCTCTCCTCTTCCTCCTTTTTAAGTAGCAAGACATTTCCCACTCCTCGAGATCCATAAAGTAAGTCAGCAGAGCTGAGTCTGACGGGGCCAGCGGGGACAGTGCAGAAGGAAGGCAGCGCAGGAGGAAGAAGGTGAACTTGAACTTGGATGCCGGAGGAAGACACGGGGCAGGAGGAGGGGTGGCGGGCCCACCTGATGAGGAAGGAATGGCAAGAAATTAAACTGAGATTTGAAAGATTTTTTTTTTTTAATTTTCCTTTCTGAAAGGTGCCAGAGATGTTGAGAAAGACAGGAGATGATAGCTCATACCTGAGTGCCACCCTGCAGAAGGGGGCTGCCAACCCAGGACGAGACCACCTGCCTCCCAGGGGTGCTTCAGATGAAGAGAGGCGATGAGTCTGATAGGCTGGCAGGTGATGAGAAAGCCTGACTCATGGCAGTCACCGTGGTTATGAACTGGAGGTGGCAGGCCGCAGCCTATCCCCAGGACACAGCCCTGCAGCTGTGTTGTCTTCAACCCATAAACATCTTTAATTAGAGAAAATGTTGCAAACTCAGTAACTGCCCCTCTGGTGGGGGGGGATGGTTTGAGTCCTGGCTTTCCTGTTACAAGCAGTGTGATTGTAGGCAAGTGACTTTCATGGCCCTGTGCCTCAGTTTACCCATCTGTAAAATGGGAGTGGTGATAATAATAGTTCAGAGTGTGCAAGGTTTCTGTGAAGATTAAATGAGCTAAGTACTGAACACAGTATCTAGTATATAGTAAGCACTCTATAAGTTATTTAAAAGTGAGAAAAATGTTCCAAGTTGTTTGAGATGTCAGCTTTACCCTATATACCAAAACCAGACTCATACATTGCAAGAAACCTACAACCCAATAATCCTCATGAACATATGCACAATAACCCTCAAGAAGTCACAAATCGAATCCAGCATTCTGTAAGAAAGATAATGCATCAAAACCAACTTGAGTGTATCTAAGGAACGCAAGGCTGGTTCAACATTTAAAAATTACTCAGTATAGTTCACCAAGTTAACAAACTAAAGGAGAAAAATCCAAATGATTCATCTCGATAGATATAGAAAAAAAAGCATTTGGCAAAATTCAACATCCATTCATAAGAACTCACCAGACTAGGAACATAAAGAGAATTCCTTTAACCCAATAAAAGGCATCTACAAAGAACCTAGAGCTTACAGCACATTTAATAAAAGATGGCATGCTTCTCCCTGAGATCTGGAATGAGGCAAGAATGGCTGTTCTTACCACTGTTATTCGGCACTGCATTGGAAGTCTTAGCCAAAGTAATAAGGCAAGAAAAAGAAATAACAGCTCTAGAGAAAGGAAGAAATGAAGTCATTTCTATTCACAGGTAATAAATGGCCTTCATAGGAAATCACTAAGACTTTACCAAAAAGCTCCTAAAAACTCATAAGTGACATCAGCATGTTTGCAGAACACATGGTTGATATGATAAACCTACTGTACTTCTATAACTAGCAATGAACAATTTGGATTTGAAAGTTAGGAATTTAAAATAATAAATCTTTAAATTCCCGTGCAAAACCAGAAGAATTACATTAGGCTTACATTCCCAGAAGACAGCAATTTTCTGCAGCTGAACAGCTGCTTCCCCTGCCCCATTAAACAGGTAATAATATTTATATGGT